GTCGCCGCGAAGCGCGTGCGGCGGCTAAGCTTCCATGCATGGCATGCATGCTTTCGGCCCAAGCCACTCATGCATGCAGGAAGGCCACGCATGCGTGCATGAGGTGAGGCAGCTCAGGCGGCATGCGCACGTGCATGAGGCTATAGAAGGTACACAGGTGCAGCCGCCCAGTTGTCGCGAGCCATGGGTCGCGGCTGCTGCGGCTGTTGCAGGCACAAACGCGCACAGCGCGCGCACAAACACAGGCGCACACAAACGGACAAAAAAACACACGCGCGCACACACACACACACACTCTCAGACGGACACACACAAACACATGCGCCACACCAGCCCGTTTTCCTCCCGAGCATGCTCTATAGATTGCAGGGTGGGGCATGCCCTCTATACACCCAGCAGCTAGGGGTGCAGCCCCTGCGACCGCGGCACTTGCCGCAGCCGTGCGGAAAAAGCTTGAGCCTCTGTTTCTGAGAAGGAAAAGGCTTCAGCGGCTTCGACTTTGCTTTCCCCTTAGCTGTAGCTGCAGGGGGTCGCTTCATAGCGGCCCGCTGCTTTGGCACAGCTTTCCCCTTAGCAAAGCCCTTGCCTGCAGTGTTTTTAATGGGAGCTGCCTTTGCTTTGGCTGCGACGGGAGCTGCCTTCGCTTTGGCTGCGCCCATGGGAGCCTCTGCGCACGCAGTCACGGCGGCTGCAGGGCGCTTCATCGCTGCGCGCGAGTTCAGGGCGTCCTTCAACTGCATCACTGTGGCCTGGTAGGCGCTTGGTGCCTGTGGCGCGGCGCTTGCTGCTTGAAGCGGCTTCAGCATGACCGCAAGCGCTGGCTTCGGGACAGAATCCGCCGGCGGCGCTGCTGCTGTCTGCTCCACGGTCCCCGTCGGAGTGGCGAGGATCTCGGCGCAAAGAGATGTCTCTCCTGCTTCACGTGCTTCCTGCGGAGCGGCCACTGCCGCTGCTGCGGTCTGCAGAAGAGCTGCAGGAAGAGGAGCTCCACGAGGGGCACTTGGCGCGGCTGTAGCGGCCGTGGCCGCTATGTGTGGCAGAGCTTGCTGCCGGGAAGCTGCTGCGGGCGGGCCCGCTGACTCAATCAACGTGTCCAAGCCCTCGACGAAGCTGCCCGCAGGCGATGCGTCCTCTATGGCCGGCAGCCGCGGTGAAGAGGCCTGCCAGCTCCATGCGTGCGTATGTGTGCGCGCGTGCGTGCGTCTGTGCGCGCATGTCTTGTGTGCGTGCACGCGCGCGCGATCGCTAACACGAGCATGACGTGCGCGCAACAGTTATATATATGTATTTATATTTATTTAGCCGAGAGCCCCGCTCCTGCGACGTCTGCGAGCCATCGTGCGAGCGCAAGCCTGCGCGCATGATCCGCAGTGCGGGATGTCCCTGCTGCAGCACCTGGCGCAAAGCCTGATGCACCACGCGCTCCACAGAGTCCTGCTGCAACTCAGGCGGGGCCAGCCTACCCGTGCGCCGCAGAGGCATCCTCTCCAGAAGCGCCTGCAGCTGCGTCAAGGGGACGAGCTGCTGCCCAGGCGATCCTGAGCCATATGCGGCCTGACGAACGTCAGCAGGTAGATCCTCGAACCTGTGCGGCAAGTGGTGCACCGCAGACGGAGGCAGATCGGCCACTCGAGTCCGCAGCAAGTGGCCGCGCGCATGGCCCTTGATCTGCTGTAAGGCTGTGAGCAGGTGGCTGCAGTGCCCGCTCCAAATTCTGCTCTGATGGTACAAGATGCAGAACAGCATGCCGAAGGTGGGCTCCGAAGGGTACCGCAAGCCCAGCAGCACCGCGAAGTCCAGCAGCTTGCCAAGCAACTCCAAGTTCGCCGGCCAAGTAGGACAGGCCGCAACCTCCTGCCACATGTCCTTGGGCAAGAAGAGCGGAAGGCGCGTGAAGTCCTGCATCTTGCCGCGGCCCCGGGCATCAGCCTCTGCCATGGCGCCGCTATATACTGTCAGCAGTGCGTGGCTCGTGCGTACCTGCGCTTGTCTTGCTTCTGCATGTGCGCCTGCCTGCGTGCGTGTACGCCTGCCTGCGTGCGCCCACTCGCATGCCGCTGCGCTTGAGCATATGCAAGTCCGCGGCAAGGCCGCGCAGCATGATTCTCCATAACACTAGCCGCAAAGTATACGCCCGCGCATATAGAGCGGCAAAGCCGCTTTTTCCGCGAGATGCGCAACCCTGCGGCGGCGCCGCGTTAATTCTGCCGGTGTTTTCATGCCTGCATAATTTTTACGGAGTGTCAACTGCGCATTTTTCGCTGCGAATTATACGAAACGCTATAATTCGCTGCGATTTCCGCATTTTGTCGCTTCTGCAAAAAAAGTGCCAAAAAAGACGTCTAAAAAGTTATTTCCAGTTATTTTAGTTAGCTTTACTTACTTTAGTTATTTAAGTTAGTTGAAGTTATCTTAGATACACAACTGCTAGAACTGCTAACCTTGACTATAAGTCCCCTTATACAAATTAACGAGACCACGTTGCAGCTTGTTGCCCTGGAGCGTGCCGAGCTTCGCCGAGGCATGCACGAGTTCCTCGTTCCACTTCCGGACCGAGTCGTCCGCAATCTCGACTGCAACCGCATGGACACGGCTCGCCACGAAGCCGACGTCAATGATTTCATCGAGCAACGAGTGCACGTCTGTGCTGCTCACAGTCCTAGGCCGTCTCGGTTACAAGGGTGTACCCCGACTTGTTGCGGAGGAAGCCTTTGAGTACAAACATGCCCCTCAGTGCGAAGCATGCTCATGATGTCGTCAACGGCTTTGACCAGGCGGTCGCCGTCGGCCGCATCATGAGCTTCGCCTGCGCCGCGTGATGGAGATCGGCGCTCAGGACCATGCCGTGCGGCAATGAAGAGCTCTGCAAACGAGCAAGTGCGTCTATAGTGCCCTGCTTGCGAGCTATGTCTTGAAATTGATCCACGCAAAGGCCGCAGAGTGCAAGCCGGGTGGCGCGACTCATGCTCCAAAAGTGCAAGCCATGATCCGTTAAACACATTCTCTGCACAAGATCAAGCACGTGAAGCCCATGCCCAAACTGTTCTTCAACGCATGCCAACTTGCAACGATGCATCCTTCCAGGTAAGACATGCGGACTTGCCGTGCTCACATCTAGCATTTTGCAAGCGCACTGCTGCGTTTCTCAATCTCGCACCAGGTGAAACCTGTGTCTGTTTGGAAAGCAAAAACATTCGCCCAGCTGTGCAAAGTGCGTGAACATGCAGAAGGTGGTGGGAATTTTGAGGGGATGGCATACCCACAAATGCACTTCGCCAAAATAGCGTAAGTGGCCCAACTCAGGTACACAAGTGTGTTATCCACAATGGGCCACTTACACATCTAGGCGGTTATCTACTTATAAGCTGGGTAAACAAGCACAAGTGATTGTAACGCATAGCAAATGGCTCGGCGCAGTTATCTAAGTAGCCTAAACAGTTTACTACGTGTACACCATTTATAACTATATTTGCAATGAATATAACATGGCTCATGATGCAACACATACGTAAATGCTCTATCAGCCTTAAACACTTACTAAGCAGGGTGAGCCTCCAAGCAGGGTTCCCCTCCCCTTGCTGCAATAAAGGAACGGCGCGAGAGGAATCGTCGCTGGGCTCCTCCATCATACCTTTGCGGATTCATGTGGCCCATTCGTCAACTAACCCTGTCACTCCATTAATTCGGTGTGGTGGCGGGATTTTAATTGGGGCTAAGTTGATCGTTTGGCTCGGCTCTGAGTTCGCACCGGTGTTTTGCGCATCCTTTCTCTTGTCCAGATATCGGATGAGGGGGGGTGTTTAGTTCATGTATTGTTTTGTCTTGTCATCGTGCCGAATGGCCATATGGCTCAAGTTACCTCCCGACAAGTAGCAAAGGGTGTCGTGCAAGTTGTGATATACCGGGTTCTTTGCCCTCATCGTGTACTACCTTGAGGTCAGGTGATTTTTTGGGCCACACCATCTTTGCCGAAAGCCGCGGCTTTGAATATGTACCAGGCATGCTCCAGCGAAGCTGGATGACGGAAGTTTCTAGAAGAAGGCGCAGGGAGTTTACTTCCAGCGCTACTTTCGTACTGAAAAAGTTGCTACTTTCAAGCCCAAGTTCCGAGGCGGAGCTGCGGGCGCACTTGGCGTGCTGCTTTCGAACTTAAGAGTTGCGACCTTCAAGCTGGAGCTGCCGGAATTCTTCGCCAGAGCTCCAGGATACCAGTCATTCTTTACAGTTGCGACCTTCGAGCTGGAGCTGCCGGGGCCGGTCTTGGCAGGCAAAGCGCTGATGGCTCTGCTGCTTTGACCGCCTGTGAGGTAGTGCCAGCACACGGCGCGTAGTGTGTCTGGAGCCTTTAAACTGCAGCTTTGAAGCTGGCACAAGGTCGATGGTCGTCATTCTGCAGGCAGTGACAGATATTAAACAAGCCTTACCACCATGACGGCCAACGCGGCCCACATGCTGATCATGCGAAAACTGGGAAACTTTGACAGTCGCTGGATCTCCTGCGTGCCTTCGACTTCTTACTTTCACCAGGCGCTGCCGAAAATTTCTTTGAAGCGCGAATTAAGCATTGGCAAATGACCGATGAGCCGACCACCATGTAGAGTGTCGTTTAAGTGAAGCATGGTTCGGAACTAACTATACCGTGCGGGGGTGCTTGTAGCTTGCTAATAGCACGCCAATATTGCATGAAAATCATGCCGTCATGTTCTGGCTCAAGTCCCCGTAGCTAGGAATCAGCGTCCCTTTTTTTGGGATCAAGAACAGCGAAGCTGTTCAGGAGTGCGAGGTGCTAATAAGACAATCGTGCTTACCGAGTGACTGCGGCTTCCTGAAAGGGGCATTGCAATCAGTTTGGGACGTTTTTTATATTCAGGACTCTGCAGTTCATTTGTTTGCTGTGTATTTTAAAATTTCCTGGTGTTGCTTAGTGTATTGGGTCTGAGAACGTTGCAAGACTTTTGCTAGATCCGAAAGTGATTCTTCCTTGCCCTTTTCAATATGAGGCCTATTGGGAGCGCCTGGCTGCTTACACTTCAACTCCGGTCCTTTTTGACGACGCTGAACCTGGAGATGTTCTTCAAGGAATGTTAGGCGACCAGATGAAACCGCTTAAGACTTTCTACTTTGTAGCAACTCCGGGCAGCTGAGGGAGCGTCTTTGTGATTTTAAGTTTGCACGTGTCATCAGCAGCTGGGTTTGAAAGAGCGATTTCAGGCGATTGCTGGTTGCTGGCTGCAATTGCTGCAGTGGCGGAATTTCCCAATTTCTTCAAAGACCATCTCTTTGTGACCCAGGACGTTGAACGAGGGTTGGGTCCATCAAATTTGGGAAGATGAGAACCATTATTTTTAGGGGCTCTCTCAGAAAACCTGATAGAAGTCCTTGTCGCATCTCGCGTCGCGTCTTTAGTCAGGTTTCTATAGTCACGTCTCTGGTCACTTCGGGTCACGTCATTGTCACGTCTCTCGTAGCAACTCTGGCCACGTCTCTCGTCATGACTTTGGTCACACCGTTCATCATGTGTCTCGCTGCGCCTCTCGTCACGACTCTGTCACGTCTCCCATCTTTCTTGGCGACTCCCGTCATGTCTCTTGTCATATGTGAGTCGTCACCCCTCAAGTCGCGTCTCTGGTCTTTTATCACTTGTCTCGCCGCGCCTGTCGTCATGACTCCGTCGCGTTTCCCGCCGCGTCTTTCTTTCTTGGCGATCTCGCCACGTCTCTTGTCACGCGTGAGTCGTCGGCCCTCGCGCCACGTCACATCTCTCGTCACGTCTCTGGTCCAATCTCGTCACGTCTCTCCTTGCCAGGTGGAGTATCTGGCTATTCCTTTTTTTGTGTATAGTCATGTCTCTGGATGCCCCTTGTCAGGTTTCTTGTAACAGCGTCTCTTGTCACGTCTCTCTTCTTTTCCTTGTCCTTGTCGCGTCTGACGTAACAACGTTTCTTGTCACATCTATCGCCACGTAGCTAGACATCCCTTGGCAGGTCTCTCAATAACAACTCTGGCCACATCTCTTGTCATGACCTTCGTCGCATCTTTCGTCATCGCATCTTTCATCACGTCTCGAGGCGCCTCTCGTCGCGACTACGTAGCGTCTGCCATCACGTCTTTCTTGGAGACGTCTCCTGTCACGTGCGTTGTCGCCCCTCGCGTCACGTCTCTGGTCAAGTCTCACACGTCTCTTGTCATATTCGCCGTCCCGTCTCTGGCAACCTCTCGCGTCACGATCCTCGTCACGTCTCTTGTCACATCTCTCGTCACGTCTCTGGTCACGCCATATCTCAAGTCTCGTCGCGACTCTCCTCGCACGTCTCTTGTCACATCCATCACATCCAGCGTCATGCCTCTGGTCACGTCTTTGCTGGTCACGACCCTCGCCACGTCTCTTCTCACACGTCTCTTGTCATATTTGAGGCCCGTCTCTGGCAACCTCTTGCGTCACGATCCTCGTCACGTCTCTTGTCGCATCTCGTCACGACTCTTGTCACATCCATCATCATGCCTCTGGTCACGTCTTTGGTCACGTCCTTTGTCACGTCTGTCGTAACAACTCTGGCCACGTCTCTTGTCATGACTTTCACCTTATCTTTCATCATGTGTCTCAACACGCACGACTACGTAGCATCTCCCGTCACGTCTTTCTTGGAGATCCTGTCGCGCGCGTCGTCGCCCCTCGCGTCTCGTCTCTGGCCACGTCTCTTGTCACGACCCTCCCCACGTCTCTTCTCAAACGTCTCTTGTCATATTTGCCGTCCCGTCTCTGGTAACCTCTCACGTCACGATCCTCGTCACGTCTCTTGTCGCATCTCTCGTCACGTACTGGTCACGCCTAAGTATCTCGCGTCTCGTCGCGACTCTCCTCGCACGTGTCTTGTCACATCCCTCACATCCATCGTCATGCCTCTGGTCACGTCTTTGGTCACGTCCTTTGTCACGTCTGTCGTAGCAACTCTGGCCACGTCTCTCGTCATGATTTTGGTCTTATTTTTCATCACGTGTCTCGACGCGCCTCTCGTCACGACTACGTAGCATCTCCCGTCGCGTCTTTCTTGCAGATCCTGTTGCGCGCGTCGTCACCCCTCGCGTCACGTCTCTGGTCACGTCTCTTGTCACGACCCTCGCCACATCTCTTCTCAAACGTCTCTTCTCGAATTTGCCATCCCGTCTCTGGTAACCTCTCTCGTCACGATCCTCGTCACGGATCTTGTCGCATCTCTCGTCACGTCTCTCGTCGCGGCTCTCCTCTTCTCACATCCATCGTCGCACGTCACGTCTGTTGTCACGTCTTTGGTCACGTGCTTTGTGACGTCTGTCGTAACAACTCTGCTCCCGTCTCTCGTCATCACTTCGAAGCAACACATCTCTCATCATGTGTCTCGACGCGCCTTGCGTCACAACTCCGTCACATCTCCCGTCCTGCCTTTCGTGTCTGTCTCATGTCTCGAGCCACGACCCTACTCGCGTTTCGTGTCACACCCTCACATGTTTCGTCACGACTTCGCGATCTCAAAATGTGCTCCGCGCCCAGCGAAGCAGAGGGTTCACTGTGCGATTTCAACATGTGCACCGCGCCACAGCGAGATCGATTAGTGCGCAGAGGGTTCGCTGTGCGATCTCAAAATGCGCACCGTGCCACGGCGAGAGCGACCCGACCCGCCCAAAGTGCTCAGAGGGTTCACTGAAGCGAGAGCGTTTCGACGCACCTAAAGCGCGCAGAAGGTTCACTTTGCGTGCGAAAAGGTGCACCGCGCCACAGCCAGAGCGATTCGACCCGCCCAAAGCGCGCAGAGGGTTCACTTTGCGTGCTGAAAATGCGCACTGCGCCACAGCGAGAGCGACTCGACCCGCCTGCCACGAAATCTGCACGAAAAGCTCTGAAGCGCTGCGGCTGCCACGAAATCTGCACAAAAAGCTCTAAAGTGCTGCTGCGCCTGTCACGAAAAATCACGTTACAGCAACATGCAAAAGGCTCAAAATGCTGCGCCTGCCACGAAATCAGAATTTGACACTCTTGCATGGCATGCGGAAAACTAGCGCGGGGCTGTAGCGCCAGAATGATTTCGACCAATTTTGACATGTTTCAGGCTCGCCAAAACGAGCCGATTGCACGACAGGGCCACCGAAAATGACACTCGTGCTAACACTTGCACGCGCCTGCCAAGCAGGACACCTCAAAGTGACCACCCCTGGATCGCAAATGCCACTGGCACGGCAACGAGAACACGCAGCCTTCCAAAACACTGCGCTTGCGCAGCAAAACTACGTCCGACATGCTAAGAGCTACGATTCCCGCACAGGGGCACGAAAAATGACACGCTTCAAGTCATCCAAATGGCACGTTTTTCGCTTTCCCTCTTGGAACTGCGACCGCGACACTCACGGACACACACGAACGCTTGCAAACGCTTGGGGACGTAAATTCAACGACTCCTGGTCACGTCCTAACCCCCAGACCCCCGACCTCTAAACGGGCTACTCGTTCGGGAAAAAACAGCACCCCTTTGCCAGTTGACTCAGATGCACTCCGATGTGCAATTTGCGCGATGTTCTCCGTTTCGTTCATTCGGTGGTCTTTCTGCAGGAGATTCCAGAGGATGGAAAGTACGAGATCAAGCTCTTTGATTGCAAGTTGCAGGCAGGGGCGGTTTCCCGCCACGAACCGGGGTTAGGGACAGGGAGAAAAACATATTCAGCAAAATCTGTTGGCGATTTTCTTTCATTTTTCCATCGTTTGAATGATCACTCTCGCTTTCTCTCTTAGAACCTCAGTATCGCAAGATCACTGAGCTGTTCGATCATTCGCACGATCACTCTTTTCGAGGCTTGGCCGTGGCGGTGCTTTTTTAGCAGTGAGACTACATGAGACTCGTGAGGAGTGGAAGGTGTGGGCGATTGACGACTACATTCCAACCTTGCCATGGAGTTCTTGGGGAGTCCATGCCTTGAGCGCAGATGTTGCAGACGACAAAATTTTGGTGCCGCTGGTGGAAAAGGCCATGGCCAAAATGTGCCTGAGCCCAAACAATGCGAATTGGAAAAAGCCCACCCGCTTGATGAACGGAAAGGCTTCCAATTTCTTCTTGGGGCAATCTAAATCCGGGCCTAGTTTAGCCAACACGGGGGTCGAAGATGAACTCGCACTGAAATTCGAGGTGCGGATCCTACACAAAGTTGAAATCCGGCATGGTAACGACTGCGTGGGCGCATCTCACAGGCTGCTGTGACATGGTGAAGATTTGGGGCGAATTCGCAAATCCGCTGGAATGGGTGGCTTGGTTGAGCTAAGAGCCACATCCAGACGTTTCAAGGACCCCCCCAAATGTCAGTTAAAGCTTTGCTTTTCAACTTGAACCAAGGGTCATTTCGTAGCAGTCGTGGTGCTGTTGCAGCTTTTATCCATGGATAAATTCGGTGAAACAAGCAAGCTGCGATGGGTCCTGATGGCCTCTATAGTCATTGGCAATTGACTACCTACAGTGTCAATAGTGGGTCTGAAGATAGGGACCGAAGATGGCCCTTTAAACCACACCCTTTTCCAAGGGCTGCCCTCAAGGGAGCACCCTGGCGTGTCCGAGGTTGTCACATCGGAGGAAGGTCTTTGGGTCCGTGAGGAGAACCAGCGCGTGAGCAAACGAATCGGGAAGCTGGAGAAAGGCCCTTCGTCCGAGCCGAACGAATCGAGACACATGGCCTCCGCAGAAAAAGCAAGACAGAGCCCACGAACCAGAATTGCGCATCACTTTGCGCAAGCCTAAGGACATAGTTAGGGATAACAATTTTCAGCATGAATGCGGGCTATTTTTTCATCTTGCAAAACTGTACTTCGCGTACTAGGCTTGCACTACCAAGTTACGATTTTCGAGCTGGAGCTAAACACCTGCACTTCACACGCTAGACTTGTGCTACAAAGTTGCGATTTGCGAGTTGGAGCTGGAAACGCGTACTTCGCGTACTAGACTTGCGCTACAATTTTGCGATTTTCCAGCTAGAGCTGGAAGCCTGTACTTTGCGTGCTAGACTTGTACTACAAAGTTGGATTTTTTGAGCTGGAGCTGGAAACCTGTACTTGCAGTTGCGATTTTCCAGCTAGAGCTGGAAACCTGTACTTCCTGTGCTTCATAGTTGCGATTTTCTAGCTAGAGCTGTACTTCGCGTGCTAGACTTGTACTACAAAGTTGCGATTTCCAGTGGAGCTGGAAACTTGTACTTCGCGCACTAGACTTGTACTTCAAAGTTGCGATTTTCCAGCTTGAGCTGGAAACCTGTGCTTCGCGCACTCCCTGTGAATCCGTCAAGACAATTAGCGGGGGCAAGACAATTTTTTCACCGTGAAAGTCAATTTGTAGTTTTTTTAACCGTTGCCGTTGCCGTTGCCGTTGTCGCGAGAAGTTATTTGTTTAACGGGGAAATTGCCGTGGCTGTTGCCGTGAACAGTTGCCGTTGCCGTTGCCGTGAAATATTGCCGTTGCCGTTGCCGCGCGTTGTGGGCGACGAGATGGCGAAGCGAAGCGAGCTGGCGAAGCGAAGCTGGCGAAGCGAGCGACGAAAACGCAGGCACCAAATGCGTGCACGAGCTTGTCGCCGAGATGCCGCCAAAAGCATTTTTCCCCACATCTTTGTGTGGGGTTCTTACTTTTTCCGCTTGTCGTCCGCGCGCCGCGTCTCCTCCTCCTCCTCCTCCCGCTCGTCTCCGTCTCACTCACTCAATGCCACTCACTCACACTCACTCACACTCACTCAGTCACTCACACTCACTCACACTCACTCAGTCACTCACACTCACTCACACTCACTCACTCACACTCACTCAAACTCACTCACTCACTCACTCACGCTCACTCACACTCACTCACTCACACTCACTCTCATTCACTCACTCTCATTCACTCACTCACTCACTCACTCACTCACTCGCTCACTCACTCACTCACACTCGCTGACTCACGGCAGCTGTCTAGAGGGACAGGATGTTGTCGCGCGCGCGGCGGGGGGAAAAATACATAAAACGGCATTTGTAACACTAAAACCAAATATTCAAACAGCATACAACAAAATCAGCAAAATTCACAGAAAACAAGATAAGAACCACCAAGCAACTCAAAAACCAGAACAACCCCCAACAAAATATTTAATCAAAGCATAAAACATTAAATAATTCAAACAAGCATACCAACAAAACAGCAAAAATAAAAACCATCAAAGAACACAAACTCAAAAACACACAAAACAAAAACAAAGCAACATACCATCAAAAAATATCAGAAGAGTATCAAACAAAATAAAATACAAACAGCCAAAGCACGAAAAAATCAAAAGAGCATACCAAGTTCAAACAACGCACTTTGAAAGAGTCAAGCAAATCAAGGAAAAATAAAATATTTCAATCTTTACAAACCATAAGTACAGTATAATTATAACATATAAGATTTTACATGTTATTATTATAGTATGATTATAATTTCAGTACAGGATAATAATTTAATTGACAAATCTTTCTTCTTTCATACATCATTTTAAAAATAATATTAATATCTCTCAATGTATTTTGAATATTAAACTTTTTACTTTCAATAAATAATTTGATATTTTCTTTAACATCTTCTCCTTTATCTTGACTATAACACAACAACCATAATATATCATCCATCATTTCATATTTTTCTTACTAATTTTAAGAAACTGTTTAACATAATCATAAGGTGGTATTTTATTTACAGTTAGAAATATTAAAATATCATCTTCTACATTTCTATGTCGAATTCTTTTTATTCCCAACAGACATCTGATTAATTCTTGATAATATCTCCAATTTCTACAAATTTTACATAAATCTTCTTCATCCATTGAATAATTAATAATATTATTCACTATTTCATTAGGTAAATTCAATTTATACAATTCCATATTTTCCTTTTTGAAGTGACAACAATCATAGCATTTTTTATTGATATAATTATTGATTTTATCACCGTTCATTTTCCTCTTATTATATTAAGGTTTTAAATCTTTAAGTATATTTTCTAAAAAGTCACTTAAAGAAATAAACACATTAAATTTATATAGTATAGTATTATGAAACATGTTATAGATTATCTGTTGAATAATGATAAAGCGGAAATTCCAAAAAGAGGAAACAAGGAATTAAAATCAATAATTATAGATGGTAGACAATTTAGATACAACAAAGAAAAACCCATCTCAAATGTTTTGAACAAGAAATTAAAATCAGAAGCAAGAACTAATGAGTATAATAGTTATGCAACAAAAACATTGCGCTCAACATACCTAAAACAAAGAATGAAAAATGCAATGACAAAATATGCAATCAAAAATAAATTCCAAGTAACAGACCAACAATCAGCTTTCAAAAGTTATGCTAATTCTATAAAACTAGTAAATAAACATTTTCAAGGTGAAAAGGCACTATCAATGATACACCACCAAAAAGATAGACTTTTGACCTTTTTGAAAACTAATAGAGCAATGAAACTGAATATAAGGGCAGAAGGTTTATTTTATCATTATTATGATGATGATGGAGTAATAAAACATACAGAGATACTTTATAATTTACCTGCTACAAGGTCAAACATATATAATGAAACCGATTTGGATGAAGCAATTGAAAAATCAATCAAAGAGATTTTATTGAACATAGAAAAGTTAGAAGGTTCAGCATCTAATTTACAATTTAAAAAAATATTATCAATAACAATCCATTATGACAAATATGACCCAACTAGGGCGGGTAGTTATATAGATTTACCAGAATGGATTAACTAAAAAAGGCATGTATTAAAATCAAAAACAAAGATAACAAATGTTTTAAATATAGTGTTCAAAGTGTAGTGTTTGATATAATTAATAAATCAAATTCCCAAGAAATGTTCCATTACAACAAATTAAATGACAATATCTTAAACTGGGAAGGTGTTAAATTTCCAACTGGTAATAAAGATATTGAAAGGTTTGAAGAAAATAATAGTAAGTTAGTTTCAATCAATGTTTATGAAATTGATGATACTTTGAATGAAAAGAAAATTATAATTGATTACAGAACTAAAACAAGAGATGCTAAACATCAAATAAACCTTTTGAAAATTGAAATCAATAATAATAATCATTATGTAGTTATTAAAAGTCTAAGTCGTCTAATGAACTGGCAAACAAACAAAAATGACCAACCAAAACATTATTGTCATTATTGTTCTCATGCCTTTACTAGAAAGGATTTATTAACAAAACATTATGAAACATGGACAACAGTTTAAATTACCAAAAGAAGGTAGTTATATTGAATTTGAAAAATACAATACAAAATTAAAATGTCCATTTGTTGTTTATGGAGATTTTGAGTGTATAACTGTAAATTCAAATAATGGCATCAAGGGCACGTATCAGGAACATAAACCATGCGGTTATATGTTGAATGTTGTAAATTCTATTGATAATACAAGTCAACCTTTTTTATACCGTGGAGAGGATTGTTTAGACCACTTTGTAAATAAATTAAGAGAAATTAAAAAAGATATTTCTGATAAAATGAATGTTAATAAACCAATGGATATTACAGATGAACAAGAAGCAGAATTTAGAAAAGCTACTGTATGTTCAATATGTAATAAGAATTTTAAGCCAGATGATGTCAAGGTTCGTGACCACTGTCATTTTACTGGTGAGTATAGAGGTTGTGCTCACGAAAAATGTAATTTGGATTATTCATTTAGATATTTCAAGATACCAGTATTTTTTCATAATTTAAAAAACTATGACTCTCACTTAATAATAGGCAAAGCAAATGAAATAAATAAGGAATTGAACGAAAATAAGAGAATAGATGTAATAGCACAAAATAGCGAAAAGTTTATTACATTTTCATTTGGTTCATTACAGTTTAAAGATAGCATGGATTTTCTCTCAGCATCTTTGGATAAATTAGTTAAGTTAAATAAATATGACATAGTAGGTAAAGATGAACATGATAAACCTATATATAAAAAGCGGAATGACTGGAAGGATAATTTCCGATTTTCATCAGCAAATCCATATATTAGAAATAAAACCGATTTAGACTTATTAACTGAAAAAGGAGTTTATCCTTACGACTACATGAATTCATTTGATAAATTCAATGAATCGCAATTACCGAATATAGAAGACTTTTACAGTAAATTATATGAAGAAGGTATAACAGATACACAACACACAAGGGCAAAAGTAATATGGGATAATTTCAATATCAAAAACCTAGGTGAATACCATGATTTATATTTGATGACAGATGTTTATTTGCTTAGTGATGTGTTTGAAAACTTTAGGGATATGTGTTTGAATTTTTATGGATTAGACCCTGCACATTACATAACATTACCTAATTATTCTTGGTCTGCCTTTTTATCTCTGACTGGTGTTAGACTTCAACAAATACATAATAAAGATATGTATGAAATGATTGAAAAAGGTCTTCGTGGCGGGATGACTCAATGTGCTCATAAAAAAGTAGAAGCGAATAATAAATACATGAATGAACAATATGACTTGTCAAAACCATCAAGTTATATAAGTTATTTAGATGCTAATAACTTGTATGGTCTGGCTATGAGTAAAAAACTACCGTTTGATAATTTCAATTGGTATTTTTCAAGGATGGATGA